TATTGGCCATGGCGGGCTGCAAACACACCCCTCATCTCCCCAACTGCCGCTTTAACGGCTGCTCTGCTGCAGCAAGCGCACGCTTGCAATGAATACATGGCCTTAATATGCATAAGCACACAATGTAGACACCAAGTTACGCATTAATACTAAAACACACACATACACGCGCGCCCTGGCGGAGGCCAGCAGAGAACAATAGGCCGTCTGACAATGGGGCTCAGAGGAATTCTCTTTTCCATATTAATATTCAGCAGAGTGGATATGGAGAGAGTGTGTGTCAGCAGGGACACATGCTCATCAACCTCGCTAACACTGGGGTTAGACAGCCACATGATTACAAAGTACTCAGACTTTGGTCCCCAGCCCCGCAACTATTAATCCCTAACTCCTACTTCCTCACTTCCTCTGTCCTAGCTCACTCCGGCGCACAGAGCGAGCAAACTGCCAAGTATCACAGCTGTCACTTTTCTTTGCTTTCCATTTTCCCAATTATTCTGATCAGCCTGATGGAGCAAAGGGTGGATGGAAATGGAGATTTGATATCGTCAATTTCCTGCCACCCCCACTACAGTGTGTCAGATTTGTGACAGTGCAGCTAGAAGGTCATCTGGAGGAGGATTTGGAAAAGGTTTTGGGGTTGTTGTTGTTTTTTTTTTTATCATGCTACTTAGCCTCAATGTCACCATTTCCTCTTTCTGAACCTCATGTCAGTACAAATGAATATGCCAGCAAAAACAGCTGTAGTACCACTCGTTATAGCTTCCAACCGCAAATCGTACAAGGTGACCACTAACAATGCACATGCGAATGCTCTGGCTGTATTCATGCACATATGTTACCACCATCTGTACATCTGTAGTCACACGAATCATTTTACTGTTCATCTGTACACTTTACTTTAACATAAAAGTATCCACAACGTAAAAAGATTTGTTTTGTTGTAGTCTTCAGTCGCTCTGAGCTCAGATGTGGATGCAGTATCTGTACAGAATCACACTTATTGGTTTATGCAGTTTTATTATCTCTAGCCTTCTTTATAAGCCTCTGCACCAAACAAAGAAATATAAAACACTAATATCTGCTTATTACTACACAAAGGAAAGAGGAGTGAGAGCGTCTGAACAGCACAGATGCCACAGTGAAAGTCACATACTGTTGCCTGCCTGTAGGCTACACAGTTGTTGTAGACTGGCTCACAAGAGCTGAGTGACTTCTGTCCCCCTGAGGAACGAGATGTTCTCTCCGGTCTCTGTTATGCAAAAAGACAAAAAAAAAAAAAATCGAGTACAACAGAAAAGACATGGAGTGAAGGGTCAGTCAGAAATGTTTTTGACCTCAGCACACGATATGGATTACTGCTTTCTTTTTAACTGCTTCTTTGTTTCAGTGACAGTGTGACATGTTATGTAAAGAGGATGATATAACATTAGAAGAAATAATATTACGATAGCAGACATCAGTTTGCTTTCTATATATAACCTTTCTACAGGCGAAAAGCTGAGGAAATAAAGCGTAATTGTAAATTTAGTAAACTGCAACCTAAAACCTATATTAACACAGCGCCACCCACTTAACCTACAAACTTCTGGTGTACAAGGGGTAGCTAGTTAGAAGAAAAATAGCTAAAAGGGAAAGAATGTAAGCTGCACCACAGCTTAGCACAAGATAATTTGGGCTTTCTTGACCTCTCAGTAGAGTCCCAGAATGAAAATATGGAACTGGAAATGAGCATATCAGATATGGTTTGAAGTGTTTTATCCAACACATGGTCCTAAACTCAAAATCTGCTATCAGTTAAGATTAAGAAAAGTGTTTTAAATTAACTTTTTGACTAATCAGCTAAGGCGTGTTTCATCCAGAGACTAGTTGTAGACCACCTGGCAACTACCGGTTGCTAGGGAAAAACAAATGCTCCCAGAATAGTTGCAAGTAGTTGCTGGCAGTCATTCTAAAATCTACTGCCAAATCCTAGTCTCCAGGGTCACCAGTCAGTGACCCCATGATAACCGCCATCAACAACAGAAAAATGTGCATTCATCAACTGATTGGAGAGTGGTTGCAGACCAAGAAGAAAAGCGATATGCAAACCTGACACTAGACACCTTTGCCTTCAAAGAAAACGCAGTCCCTTTTGAAACATGATGGTTATTTCAGTAAGGTAGAACTTGTTATCTGACGTTCGCTTACTTGTTTTCATCAGACCTTTTCAACCTTCACTATCACTCGAAGAGTAGTTTTCATTTTTCCATTTTCATTGCCTGATATTGAAGGTCTGATCCCACCTCATATCATTCAATGACTTAACAGTGAAACAGCTGACCTCTCTTTTCTATCATAATTTTATATTCTACCACTAATTAGTGCATTTCTAGAAAATGTTTACATCAGAGGAATGAAACCACATGAAAGAGGAAATAAACGAAAACACTTGAACTTCTTTATCATTGTGACTCCATGTCAAAGTGTGTCCATTCGTGTTTTGTGTAACATCTTTCTACAAGGTTATTTTTAGACGGATTTCCTTTGAAAAGTGCTGCAATTTCCCTAATGTTCTCAAGCAGTTATGACTAACAAAAGTCATTACCTTGGTGAAACTTTCTCTAATCTTCCTCAAAACTCTGACAAACAGCCGTTTTCATACTCTGCCAAATGACTAGCATGTACTTTGCCTCCAAGCTCCTTGCTCTGATAGATGCTCCTTATGTCTGCCGTCCTCCCATCACACTCCCACTAGTTAGGCTTGCTTCCATCAAAAAAAGTTTTAAGGACAGTCTTGACATCACACAGATAGAGCTTCACATATTGATGTCTAATGACCAATGGCAGTGAGCTGTGGAGATGCTGCTGATGCTCAATAGTCACTTCTTGTCCAGTGCAGGCAGACGTTTTGCCTGCAGTATGCAAAGATTAGTGCAGAGTCTAAGAGTAGTTGGCTCAGAAATTATAGCTAAGTAAAGCGACTAGCTTTAAAATGACAGTTCACGTTATTAAAGGTGACATCTGCTGTTAATACGTGACTGATGACATCCAATTAGTGTTTATTTTTGTAGCTACTTTAAAGTCCAAAAATGCAAACTGTTAGACCTTAACAAATTACAAATGAACTGAATAACAATGAGTACCGCACCAAGTCCTTGCTTAGACCATTATCTCATTTCTCCTTAATGCCAATAACAAAGTCGACACATTTGGCAAAAACACTGCCTCTTTATCATTCTGCCCCACGTCGCTTGATTTTCATTATGCGAGTTAGCCACAGTCTGCACATATGAATAAGTTTACTAGGCATCAACTGGATATCAATCTGAAGATGTCCTATAAAAAGGATCATTTATCTCGCCAAACACCTCACTGAACTGCACATCCAGTTTCCATCTGTGGAACCAGTTACATCACATGGGAAACAAAAACTTGTACACCATCGCCCTGAGTGCACAGCTTTTAACAGCCCTCGAGGATGTACAGGAGTACAGACATAAGCCTGTTGACCAAGTTCTTCTCAGCTGCAGTGTGTGTCCTTTGAAAATGAAAATGAGGACGCCTTTATTTGTCTCTATTTGTGTTTAAGCAAACTGGATGATAATTTCCCAGTTGGCGATGTAGTCTACTTACTTTGGGATGAAGGGAAGAGGCGAATGTGAGCAGCAGAGCAGTTAATGGCCTTGATGAATTTGTCTCTGTACACTCAGTATGCCTGATGAAAACCTTATATCTCTAAAACCAGTGTTCACTGGGGGTTTGATTCTGCACATAAGATACAGGCACTTAGTGCGTGATGGTTAATAAAAGCTCAAAAGATTTGTCTGAAGAGAAAAAACATAAAAAAACACAGATATAAAATATGGAGTTACCTTAATGGGAGGTTTGTGTCTACTGGGAGCACAGTGCTGTGCATATGCAGTGGTGACCTTCAGGAAGTATTTTCACGAGGTACTTAATTTTAAGAGGTATAACCATTCAGATGGGGATAATTATTTAGCCTGTACCTTTTAGGATTCTGTATTGTGCCAACATTAAGACTCAACAGCACATGGTGGCATCATTTACACAAAACAGGTGTAACAAATGAAGATATATTAGAAGATGTTTCATTTACGGCACATTAAGCATTAAGCCAATATTTAAAATATTCTTTTTGTGGAAATATAATAAACTCTATGATCATTACCACAACAGATTTATGAGAACAATTTCCCTTTATTAACCAGAATCCATTTCTTTAAATTAGTTTAAGGTTGGTGATTTTAAACTGGCCATATGTCTAAGTGTGAATGGTTTTCTGTCTCTCTGTGTCCTGTGATAGAGTGGTTATTACCCCACCTCTCACCCAAAAACAGCTGTGACAAGCTCCAGTGGTTAAGAAAATGAAGCTTTTAACATCGCTTAAAATAAGAGTTAAAAACTACAAGCAGACTCAAACTTAAGAGGCTTTCGTTAAAATGTAGATACACGAATGACTTAAAGTGACTCTCTTGGCCCCAAAGCCAACGACATAATGTATTTTATGGAGCTTCTAAGACACGTTACTTCAGAAGACTCAGTCTTAATTCTTGGCACATCTTGAAATATTTTAGCATAACTTCTACAAGTGTCACCATCATCATTAACACGCGGCTCACTTATTTTGATTAAGCTGTATTTATGCAGCTACATTTGTTGTGCATGCATTTGCATGTTACATTTTGAAACAAAAGGCTTGTAGACAGCACTGTCCATCCATCCATCTTTTGAAGCGATCTTCCATCAAAATCTGTGCCACGTCTCTCTGGCTCTCTATTATAATGTCTCTGGTTCCATTAGCATCATACAGTAATCCAAAATTTGTAAAGAGTGTCGTGAACTGAATCAGTGACCTTTAATCCTCCTTGTTGTGCACTCTCTTTTCACGTCTGATGTGTTACAAATGGCCCATTGTATCAGACAGATTTTACCTCGTTGCTCAAATGCATCTCCAAATGAAGCCTCTAATACTACTCTTGCCTGCTGTCTCTTTTCAGGTCGGCGCTCACTAACACTCAGCCAGCTGTCCTGCTGAAGTCGACACCAGTGAAGTCTACCTTCAGGATACAAAGGCTGTCCATTTCCACCAACTCTTCACACTGAGCCAGCCCATCACAGCACTTCTTAAAGCGGACGGTATACAATACATGCTGTCATCTGGCTTTGCTGAAGATGATCTGTGTGAACTGAGAAGGAAGTGATCAAACATTTAACAGAGGAGAGAGTGCTTGAAATTGAGGGAGAAGGAGAAAGGAGCTTTTCCCTTGAATCCTGCTCATACAGTCGGCACTCTTACTGAGGCCAGCCTGTCCATCACTGCCTTAAAAAGTGCTCATTACTATCACTGAACCGTGAAGTGGCATGTTGTAATAATTGTTATAGTACAGCTCTAATAACAGATCAAGGACACTTTGTTGGATTTTTCCGAGCTGTGAAAAGCATACTTATTCTCATTTTCCTCGCGCCAATCATCTATTAAAACCCCTACCTGTCTATTTGAAGCAAGTGCCGCTCGGTACAGTACTATTTTTGCATGACCCACTGCCTGCATGAGTAACCAGGGTCGCTTTTGACTTCGAAGAAGGACCCTTGAGCCCACAACCATCTTCTGACTGTCTGCCCAACTGTAGCATTTGAGTGTGGGGGGGGGGTGGCTGTTTCAGAATTAGGCCTCTGGACACTTGCTGAAGATGACTTGAGTTGGCAGGCCTAAAAGCCCCTTACCAAGAGAGAGAGAATTTGACAGCAGGACACACACACACACACACACACACACACAAAGAAGACACAAATGTGGATGCCGAGGCGGCTTTGAGCCATGCTGGTGTTGCTACTTGTGGAGCCCTGGAGTACAGGCTATCATCATCCCTATCATCATTCACCCAAGCTGAGGAAGATTCAACGGCCCGAAGGAAAGAGGCTACACTTCTGAACGATTCGAAGGAGACTGTGAAATTGTGCTAACACGCAGAGATCCACAGCAACATCCTCAATAACCCATATAAACACTAATACTCCCCTCCACAAATCCTTGATAGAGAAAAACAAGGCTGCGGCGGGCGTGAAAGGCACAGACACTGAACAGGTGAGCAAGCCCTTGGCAATCACATCCTGGGTCGATCAGACCTTTCACACACACACGCACGCACGCACGTACACTTCATTCATCACAGTGAGGAACACTACACTTACATCTTGCTTTGAGCTACAGGATAGGAAGGAAGACACTAGAAAACACACACCAGCTCTGTGCTCCTTTACTTCAGAACATGATTAAAATGTTTGTGGGAAGTGGGGGGTCAAAAACAAAAAAAACACAAGGGAGCGGAAAGGGGATGCCGAGGCAAGAATGCCGGGGGAGTAAGAAAGAGACGGGAGTGGTGGAGGAGGAAGAGATTTGGGGGAGAGGTGCATCTAAATGAAAAACAGAAACTAAGTTGCAGTGGAGGAGAGGACAGGAGAGGAAGCGGAGAGCCGATTGATCCAATCTCAGTGTGCAGGAATCAACGGACGACTGAAGAGGAAACGATAAAAGAGGATTAGAGAGATAGAAACAGGGGAGGAGAGGAGGAGGATGACTGCACGGACACTTCTGTAAACAAACCTGAAAGTAGATATAATGAAAGATTATCAAGGGGAGGTGGGCGGATTGGAGAGGTACACGGCGTGATAAAGATGCAGCGAGAGAGAGAGCGAGAGGATGGACGAGGGAGGGGAGAGAGACGAGAGAAAAATCAGGATCATTAAAAGAACGTGTCGATGGGAAACCTTGGCATGTGGGCAAGAAACACACATGCCAGCTTGTGCCAAGAGGATGTTTATGAAAGGGAAGCAGGGATAGTGTGGCACTGAAACATATGCTAGTTGATATTCATAGAGCATCCCAATATGGTCTCAGCTCGTACCTTGACAGTCCCTCTTGTGTGTATGTGTACCTCTTTCTTACTTTTTCCGTCTCTCACATGCCGGGGAAAGAAATAGTCAGATTCGAGCTAAAAATACTATTAAGAAAAGAGAAAAATCAAGTCTGGGTCCACGTCGAATTAGGTGGCACACACTCTTTTTCACCCTGACATATCAAATGCTGCCGGTGTCGAGCTGAGACAGGAGCTAGTTGTTGTTGATACAGATCTTTCTCTCATACACAAACGCACACATGCATCAGAGGCACACACACAAGCATGTACAGGTACACAAATGCGGCTATTTTTACATCCATCTCACAGAATAGAAAAAAATGACACCAAACCAATATTTGGAGCCATTATTCTTTTTCCAGCTGATAGTGACTTCAGTCTTCACTGCCAGGAACTCATTTCCTCCTCTCTCCTCCTCCTCCTGACTGTCCTACTGTCCATCTGTCTCCTCGCCTCCACCCCTCCCTCCTTGCCTCTCAACTATTGTTGCCATCTCTCGTTTGCTTTGCATGGATTTTGACTGCAGCCAAGGGGCAATTTTACATGTAGCACAGAGTTCACATACAAACACACACGCACAAACATGCATGTGCAGAAGGGGCGGAGAAAGGGGGGAAAAAAAACTTGCCTTTAGAGGATTTGTTTATCAAATGTGCTGTCAAATCATGTCAGGCATTTCACATCAGGGCACATTTTCCAGCCTCGGGCTACTTAAAAGAAAGGATTCAAACACGAGGACGCCACAATGCAATTTCCACAACTTTTACCACTGTATATTTTTCATATTCTAAATATAGTGAGCCGTGAATGTGCACGTTCGGAGATCATTTTATCTGAATTGTAAATTCATGTTATTGATGTTGGTGTCAAGGATTTGCAAGGAGACAAATCATAAAACATCGACCAAGGAACCTATTAATGTTGCAGAAAAATGCTTCTCTGTAAAACATCTCACTAAAACATTTCTGGGGATTTCAGGACCACTTTCCTGAATAATTTATAGAAATTTCACGAACAATAACAACTGAGTGAAACCATGCATTATACATGTCAGCTTGTACTGAGACTTCTGTATGTGAATGCTTTGTGCTCAGTACATTTGTTTATTTGTGTGAGCAAATTTCTCAGTGTGTGTTTTGGTCACGACCTCTGATAGATAAATTGTGTTTCTGAGTATACAATATGAAACCTAAATTTCTCTGCTTTTCTTCTATATTCTCTTCAGTTTTATCATATATATTTATTAGGGGTAGATATAGGGCAATAACAACAAGTTTAGTAGTTCTGCTACTCTCTGAGCCATCAACTGGACTGTGGGCAATTAATCTGATTTCCTCCTCCCCGATCTCGCCTCCATTTTAGTTTCATGTCACTCACTCCATTTCAGTTAATCTCTGTGGAAGAAGAAAAAAAAACTCCTCTTCACTTATTTTCCCTTCCTTCAAATGTCACTGTCCAATTTTCTCCATTTCTGTCGTCCCTTTGCTTTCTCCGATTCTCGTAATCCTCTTCGTCCAGTCAATCCACCCCTCATCACACTCTGTCTCTAAATGTGCGTTTGTCTTTTGCTTGGTCGCCCTGACCCATATAATAGTGGGCAGCTTCTTATAAGTGCATCTGATGATTCAATCCCCAAATCTTTTGCACTTTAGAGATTTAAAGAGACTCTACTTTTATCAGCAGGTAGAAAACACAGCACTTTGGTCGAGTAATTTTGGAGATAGACCCCACAGCGAAACTCTATCTCGCTCTGTCTCGTCCTTCTTTTTTGCTTCCCTATTTGAATATAATGAATTTTTTTTTCTCCATTCATTTTAGAATCATTGGGTTTCAGTGTCTGTACTTTGTTTTGATCCAGTTTTCCATTTTCTCTCCTATTAGGAGCTGTGCGCCACCATGGCAGCTGAGAGTGTTGCAGAACTCCGCGATTGGCTCTTCCTGCTCCTCCTGTGCCTCACCTTATTGGCTGAGGTGCTGGAACTGGCGGCAGCGGCAATTGCCATGGAGACGGGAGAGGGAGACGAGGGCATAGTTTGCCCCTCGGTTTGCCGCTGCGACGAGGGTTTTGTCTACTGCAATGACCGTGGCCTCAGCATTATTCCTCCGCTGCCGTTAACGGCTGCCATCCTGTACTTACAGAGCAACCGCCTGAGTAACGCCGGGCTGCCACCGTCGCTGGAACGCAGCACTTCCATACGAGTGATTTACCTGTATGCCAACCAGTTGGATGAATTTCCTATACACCTCCCGCCTTCATTACGGGAGCTCCATTTGCAGGATAATAATATACGAACGTTACCGCGGTCGGCTCTTGCCAAGTTACCATTACTAGAACGTTTGCACCTGGATGATAACTCGATATCCACCGTTAGCATCCAGGACCGAGCCTTTTCTGGGACCCCACGGCTTCGACTGCTGTTTCTGTCTCGGAACCACCTGTCAAGCATCCCTGCAGGCCTGCCAACATCCTTGGAAGAGTTGCGACTGGATGACAACAGAATCAGCACCATCCCTACTCATGCCTTCCGTGGGCTCTCCTCTCTGAGACGCTTGGTCCTGGACGGGAACCTGCTGGCCAACACTCGCATAGCAGATGACACCTTTTCTCGTCTTTCCAACCTGACTGAGCTTTCACTGGTCAGGAACGCTCTGCAGTCTCCACCTGCCAACCTGCCTTCAGCTCACCTTGTGCGACTCCATTTGCAAGACAATGGTATGACCCACATCTCGAGGGGGGCGCTAGATGGGATGCGGCGGCTGCAGAGGCTGGACCTGTCGGGGAATAATCTCACCACTCTGCCCCGGGGACTTTTTAAGGACACAGAAAGCCTGGAGCTGCTACTGCTGCGAGGAAACCCCTGGTACTGCGGCTGCAACCTTCGCTGGCTCCATGCCTGGCTGCACGGTCGGGGGGCGGCGGTTACAGTTAGGGGTCTAACCTGTCAGGGGCCTGAGCCTGTAAGGGGTCAGGCCCTTAGAGACCTAACTTCTCTGATGGAGCAGTGTGAAGGTCCCCCTCCTGTTCCTAATACTGGAATAGGGATGAACCCAGCAGACAAAGATGGAGGAGGTGAAGATGGTGTTGGAGGGGGTCAAGCAGTGGCTTCAGTCCCCCATGGCAGCACCACCACTACCTCTCTGCTCATCCCCACACAGGGTTCTCTTTTCACCCTGCGAGCTAAGCGGCCAGGCCTAGTTATGCCTCTGCCCCCAGGTGAAGGAGGGCACGTATCTGGAGAGGCACTGGAGCTGACTGTAAAACCTCTCTCTTCAGACAGCGTGCTGGTGAGTTGGCTTTGTCCAGAGCCGGCACCCTCCTTCCGCCTGTCGTGGCTGAGGCTGGGCAGCAGTGCAGCTCTCGGTTCAATAACAGAGACTTTGGTACCTGGAGAAAGGAGGCAGTATCTTCTAACCCAGCTCACCCCACGCTCCCATTACCTCATCTGCCTGCTGCCATTACGACAGGAAACTTCCTTTGGGAGCCCCAGCATGGGTTCGTCTCGAGCTGTCAGCACGGACACGGACAGTAAAGACTCAGCCCCGGCCTGTGCACAGATAGAGACTGGAGATGCTCTGGCACACTCAGGAGAAGAGGGCTCAGATAAAAAGGGACGAGACTCAGAATTAACAGCCCTGCCACTGGCTGGGATTATTGGGGGTGCCACAGCATTAGTGAGCCTTCTGTTAATCTTTGGCATCTTCTGCTGGTATGGACAGAGATCAGGTTACATATCCGGGGACTCGGGCTCATACAACAGGGGCCGGGGAGGAAAACATTATGATGACTATGTAGAGTCAGGCACCAAGAAAGACACTTCCATCTTAGAGATCAGGGCCCCTCCTGCAGGGTTTCAGATGACAGCTATGGCCCATCAGCCTGTTCAGCCTAAGCTGGAGGATGTCACCTACATCCACACCATTTTCCCCTCCTCCTCCTCCTCTTCCTCCCAAGCTAACGGGACCTACCGGAGCAGTCACGGAGCTGGCAGCCTAAATGGCACCATCCTCAGCCAAACCAGCCACCATCGTGTTACATATGGCACCAACCGTGGCTACAGAGAGGGTGGCATCCCTGACATAGATTATGCCTACACGTGATGATACAGGGACGCACTCCCTGAGCCACGAAAGCCCTGTTGGCTAGTGGTTATTTTGTCCTTGGTTTCCAAAGTACCCTCTGTGCCTCTGCTGGTTCAATTCTGATTGGTTTGTTAAGTAGAGAATTTCTGCTATGTTAATTGGACAATTGCTAGAGTGACAGAAGTGTAAGTCCTACTATACTCTTCTACTGTATAAATACAATTTATAGTAGGCCCTTCTTTCAGCGCTTCTTATAAATGGTTACAGTTTCTCTTTTGGATATCTCAGTGTCTTTCAAACCTACTGTTCTTCTCAGCTAATGATAATACACAGTAAATTATTTGAGGTTGATATACTAGGCTTAGCTGATTTAGAAGGAGATATATTTATAATATGGGGAAAAGGCACTTGATGTGTATAGAGATAGGTCTCAAATCTTCCAACCAACTGTAAGCTTTGTGCTGTATAGATAAAAGGGATGACAGAGGAAGAAATCAATGGTTGTTATAACCCACAGATGACAATGCATCATGGTTGACATGAAAAGATGTGTTCCAAGCCCCTTCCTTTCCTCTGGTTTATTCCCCTCCTTTTTAATTTTTTCCTCCTTTCCGCCTCTTTTTTTTTTTTTTTCTTTCTTCAGCTGAGGCTCTTTCCTTTTATTTCTCTTGTGTCTTTTGTGGTGCTGTGAGCAGAGGACGACTTTGTTCTCGCCAAGGGAGCTGACAGCAGTGATAACAGTTCTGACAGAGACGAGAGACACAAACCACAGCACGAGGAGACTAATGAGAGTGAGAGAGAGAGCATGTGTTTGGGTGGGGGTGATGGATGGATGGATGGATGGATGGATGGAGAAAACATCAAAGGAGATGAGGAAAAAAAGAGGGTGCGGAGCTGTGTTGGGGGGAATGTAGACGCAGAGAGAGGTGTGTTGGCTTCAGGCAAAGAGCGAGGACAGAAAAGGGGAGCTAAGTGGAAAAAAGGGCGTGTGACAAATGCAGCAGCAGGAGGTAAAAAAGCACACAAAGAGGAAAAAAAGGTGGGGGATCAAGAAGGGAGTGGGTGGTTAAAGAAGAGGGTTGACAACTGGAATAATGTGACATCATAGTCCAAAAAAGAAGAGAAAAAAAAGAATGAAGTTTTTGCCCACATTGTACCCACTGCACTCAGCACATGCCGAGTGATAACAGAGTGCATGCTTCCTTCAAGGACTGTTTTCAGGTGCCTGTGATCATTGAAATTCAAAGATGAATTTAACATTTCTCGGTAGTTACCTTTCACCTCGTGTATCTTTTTTTTAAATAAACAGCACATTTCAGGATTTTAAAAACATCGGTAGGACAACACCAAGGACAAGAAGCACGGCGAGACAATCTGAGTAAAAAATACACTGATTGCCAAGACCACAGGACAACAGACAAGCCTGACAAGAACGACTATTATTGTAAAAAAAAAAAAGAAGAAGAAGAAGAAAAATAACTTCATCTTGGAATTTCAGCACTGCATGTACCCAGTTTTTATTGTGGTCTGGTGTCATTATTAAATTATCTTTGCAAATGAAGTGAAAGAATCCTAATCACACATCTTATTATAGTAACCCATTATCTTCTAGAGGATGGCTAAACCTTCTTAATTAAAAATAAGTTTTAGCAGCTGACACTTTTTTTGGTGGAAGTTGGAACGGCACTGGTCTGATTACTCTTTGTTAAAATCCACTCTTAACAAATCTATTCGACTACAGCGGGGGAAAAATATTTTTCTCTGTGTTTATTTAAAAAGAGAGTAAGAATGATTTGTATATAAAGACCTCTATTAGTGGCTTACAATATATATTGATTGACTGCAGCAAAAATACCAGACAGGAATCAGGAATCAGTTAAAAACACCTGACCAAACTGTAAAACTCCCAAAATTAAAAATTTTAATATTTTATCCCTCTGTGTAAACAAATGCCAAATGTTTCCCTGTTGCAGCTTCCCAATTTTAAGTATTTGCAGTTTTTCTCAGTCTTATTACTCAGTAAATTGAAAATCTTTATCTCTTTTTACTGTTAGTTAAATGAACCAAGCAGTTCAAAGACATTACCCCAGGGTGCAGGAATCTAAGACAGACGTTTTTCCACAATTGCCTCACGTTGTATGGACCAGATGATTCAAGTGGACCTATTCTGCTCATTTCCAGCCTCATATTTTTATTCTTCGAGCACCAGAGTTGCTTTGCATGAATTACAATCCAAAATTACCGTCATTTATCTCGGTGCAGCCCCTCAGTTCACCCACTGTCTGAGATGAGCCACTTCAGCTCCCTTTCCTGTGCCCCTCAGAGGGTTTGAACAGCAGACTGGTGGGAGTGCTGTGCTCACAACTAGAGCTGTGTGCCTGTGATGACCATATTATAGAGATCGCCTCGTATTTGATATGAACAGATCAAAGAGTAGAAACAAAAAAAATAACAGAGCAATTTGAAGTTAGTTTTTTTAAGGCCCACGTTTGAAATAGGGAAGTGCATAATAGGTCCTCTTTAATCAGTTAATTTAGATCAACAATGAAATTGTGGCCTTTCCTCTTACACTGTCATATACAAAGGCAATTCATTTACTTGTATTATAATAAAGATTAGCTGAATTGGAGAAACTAAAACAACTAGTATAATCACACCTGATCTAGTGCATTCTGGGAGGTGAAACGTATAAGTTGACTCAGGTCGTGTGGTTTTATAGGCCTTAGCACAGCATAGACACTATGTTCTGGTGACTGGGATCACAGCCTGACCGCTACACTGTGCAATTCAACTCAAAGACAACCACAGGGAAACGAGCGACCCCCTGCTTTCTGACCGCCTCTCACTGACCACACTAATGTACTTTAAGGCAGGAGGAACATCAAAGAAGACGCTAATAAAATACAGCCAGAGATTAACAGGAAGAGGAAGAGGAGAAGGTAGAGAGAGAAAAATAAAGGGGGAGAGTGGAGAGGGGTGATTTAGATAGAGCCTGTAAGTGTTGAAACCCAAGTCTTACTTTGTGTAGCTCTCTTTCTCTTTTTCAACCTGTGTTACAGTGTACCAGTAATATTGGAAGAGCTCCGGTGTGGGTTTTTTAGGGTTTTTTTTTTTTTTTTTTGCATTTGTTTTATTATTTTTTTAATTTTTTTAAAAGCACTGAAGCTTCCTTTCATTCTGTGTAGAGATCCTTTTCCTTTAAAAGTGTCACCCTCAGATGTGATAATGAAAACACTCTTATGTATAAACATAAAAAAAGGGTGCAAAACGCTATTCCATTTATTGGTCTGTCGTCTTTTTTTCTACGCAGATGAATAAAGACTTCTAAAAGGAAGAGCGGATTCGTGAGTTCTGTGTGTGCGTGTGTGTGCGTGCGTCTGAGTGGAGTTCATCAAATCGGAAGGAAAGGCTGGAGATGTCAAATAATGCACCAGAGTGGGCGGGGGGAGGGCTTAAAAACTAAAAATCAATGGGAAGCTCAGATTATTAACGTGATTTATGATGAGACAGAGCAGGCCTCGTTAAATCACACACACTGGATGAATACATCAGCGTCTATGCGCTCCGATTCCATTCGGAAGGACGCATGTTTTTATCCTGACAAGTTCAAGTGCGTATTTCACAGAGTGACACGAGAAACTCGGCTGCGTCCATTTGTATGGATGTGTTTGTGCTCGGTGCTCCTGAGTTTGGGTGAAGACATGCCTCTCATTCTAAGTGAGTGCTAATGCTTGTGTAAGCATGGATCAATATAACGAACGGGGGAGTGTATAAGTGTCCATCTTAGAGTAACTGCTTGTGATGGGTGTTTGAGAAGGAAGGAGTCTGAAAGAAAAATACTGTAGACAGAAATGGTTTGCCGCACGCTGATGACTTCGTATGACTATCTACAGGATCTGTGATTATACGTCTGGCGGTGTGCGGCTGCATCTTGGCGTCCACGCTCTTAACAACAATGGCCCGAGTTCTCATCGGTCATTATGGACGCCTTTCACTGCCGCGGTCCATTATCTAACGTCAGGTCCTGCAGCTTAATTATCCTAACTCGCATTACACCCAAGAAAAAGATGTATACTCCGAGACTGGGGGTAAGCATCTGTTTGGGCTAAATTTATTCTTGCACTGTAACAAATCGGATCAAAGTGAAGGCTTCCATTAAGTTACAACAACTAGTACGTCTGTCCAAAAGTAATTACTTTGCGAGAATAAACTGTGCTTTAAATTATTAAGATGTGTTAGATATATATAACACGTGTTAAAGTTCGAACATAGAAGCACAACAGCAGTGTGTTGAGTTTCGATTCATCTCATTTGAATTAATTTCTGACTATGCGACCTCTATTCCTTTAACAAACAGGCTCAACTCACTGATGTGCAGTAAAATGGTCGGTTGCATTTTAAACTCCGTGCTCAGTATTTTCTTCACAACAGTGCTGCCACGGATGATTTAAAGCCGCAACGCGAGTTATCTTCCGCTGTTTGCGTGCATTTATAAGCTTATTTAGTGAAAAGGTCACTGTATTCCTCTCAATGCATGCATTTGAGGAAATGCATGTATGCATGCACAGTCAACCGAATCAAATCCACAACATAATCTTTTTGGCACAGATAGTTTGAATGCAAATGTTTCTACAAATACTGAGGCAGAGCTGAGAAAAGAAAAGGCACTGCACGGGTGAATGTGTAAGTTTACATTTTCTTTCTTGACTTCGCAGCAGTCAAGGGCACGGCAGAGAAAAACATGAACAGATGCAACATATAAACATGAGAGGACCTCAAATACTGCTGCGTTGTCAAAGCCGCTGGCGTTTCACAGATATGCACAAGGTGTCCTTTAGCATCGGTGCCATTATGCACTGTCTTTACGGCAACAGTCAAACTGCCCGTTTACTTCTAACTCATCACATACAAATGCTTATAAATGACTTCTTGGTATTGCACTTAAGCACACAAGGTAGCTGTCATTTTTTAGCATGCATTTAATTTGTGAAGGGGCTAATTGTTAAGCCAAATTAGCGCCACAATCTCAGGGACAACAGACAGCTATTTAATTATTATTTTTTGCTTTATATGCTCTCCATCTGACCAGATTCGCATTGGTCATTGCCAGAGTTACTTTCATACAAAAAAGGGCACCGTATCAACAGCCAAATAACCTTAAAATTCACTGAACTTTCACTCTGAGCTAGAGCCAAACTAAATGACACAATGTCAAAGACCCTGCATTTTGTTATCACAGCTCCACAACCAGTAAAGCATATCATCTAAAAATGCTAATCTAACTTGTGTGTGTTAGGGTGTTCTGCCAACTTTTGTGCCTAATGCTTTAAGCTTTGAGTGTGAACATATCAGAACTGGCACATTTCAGTATGTTTGATCTCATAATAACGTTGTTATGGCACGCAGATCCAGCCACAGCTTCACCGGCTGCAGCGGCAGCTACTTCCAGATCAAGCTGAGTGTGACGTTTCAGAAAAATACAGCACTGTGCAAAAGTCTTGAGTCGGCCCTCAGTTCTTTATAGAAATGGAAAACGGGTACAGCAGTTTCTTGAAACAAACATTTTCTCTGTCAAGATGATCACACACATCTTTAATAATGTTGAGGTC